GTGCTGAGGATCGAAACCAAGGCCTCGCACATGCTATGTAAGTGTTCTACTGCTGAGCCACAACCCCAGCCCCTGGTTTTTAAAAATTCACATTATCTAATATATTTCAGCCTTTTAGCAATTCTCATCGGTTTTGCTAGCCAGAGAATCTGATTGCTTATGAATGAAAGCTAAATTGCTTCACTAAAATTGACTTAACTAGATGGAGTCTAATGATCTCAATATGTGTATGTCAGTCATATCTGGCTTTAGACAATCTGTTTAATTTATGAAAACATTGAAAGCAACATTTACAGATATCTCACTCTGGTTCAAAGAAACCAGAACACCCTTGCCTTTGCATTTTAGAGTGTGTAGAATACAAATGGTTAGAGAGACTGAAGGCTAGGATGAGGGAGGGAGGTGGAAAGAGATGAGGCACTAGGCAGAAGTGACAAGTCTGTGGAGCAGACAGCCCTATTGATTTATGCTGTGAACTGCATTTGGGAGCAAAGAATTGAAATCCATTATGCCAAGCACATAGCGTACAAATCCCTTTGAAAAGCAGTTTGATGCCATCTAATCCCAAATCATTTGAAAACAATTTTGAAGTACCCAGAATTCTAAAATGCCCTATGCAATTTGTCTCTTAGATTAGGAGAACAGAGAAATGGATGGAAAAATAGCACTTTATTGGTATTTTCTTCTCATATATTGTGTTTAACTGTGTGACTTAGTGTGTTCAATTACATTTTAGATAAGTACAAATCTGGGGGCGAGGACATATTCCCTTCGATTTTCTGAAACTTGCACCAAATACAAGATATGGATGAAATCTTGGGGCAGCTTATCAAGTATATCTCTTTAAAAAAAAAGATTTTAATAGTCCATAATGTCAGACTTTTAGAAATGTTCCAAATATGATACAAATAATTTTTGTAGTCTCCTTACCCAGATTTTCCAGATGTTAACATTTTGCCCCGTTTTTCTTCCTTTTATTTCTCTATTAAATAAATATTATTTTGCCATGTTCCTCTTAAAAAGCTTCATTTGGAAAAAGGAGGGTGTGATGGCGGGGGGAGATAACCTCAACAGGAAAGGAAGAGTGAGAAGGGGATTGGTGTGATAGCTGAGTGCTTCCTAATCTTTTTGGATTTGTGGAACCCTGTGGTTGTTTTATTTTGTAATTATAGTGAACTTTATATTGAAATACAGCATACTCCTTGAGATAATTAAATAGTTCCAAAGTTAATAATTACTATGTTAGAAGGATGAATTGTCATATGTGTAGAATGTAGTTTTAAAAAAAGGCAATTAAAAGAGCAAAAAGATTTGGGAATAGTGCAAGAATTAAAACAGAATCAAGAACAAAAATAAGAATCTGGGGGCTGGGGATGTGGCTCAAGCGGTAGCGCGCTCGCCTGGCATGCGTGCGGCCCGGGTTCGATCCTCAGCACCA